TATAATCCCACAAGTTGGTGGTGAGTATGATTATTTAGCTAACAAGCTCTGAGTGGACTTGTAATGGAAGGAAATCATGGACAGCATATAACCTGAAGAATAGAACAGTAAGTAAGGCTTGACTACAGGAAGATGTATCAACAGAAAAATATTAGATAAGATGGAGCAGAGCCGGCAATGAACAAAGAAAAGAGAGAATGGCAGGCAGGTAGGGGAGGCTGGATACTGCAGTGTCAACTCAAGAAGACCTTTCATTTTATGTTTGCATTTGTGATATATTTGAGTTATGTTTTGTGAGGGATGCCAGTCTCTGTTTGGAATTCTTATATGTAAATATCCTGCTGACTATCTTCCCTCCATTGCTCCCTTCTCAGAGATCACTTGACTTGCTATGGGCTTATTCCTAGACTTTCTACTATGTCCAATAGCTTATTTGTCTCTTCTTGTGCTACTATCATATTGCTTTGAATGCTGTCACTTTATATTGAGACTTCTGGCTGTATAATGTCAGAGCCCCCAACTTTGTTCAGTTCCTGCATCACCATAGTATATCCTTTGGAGGATGCTAATATAAATGGAATTGTATTTTTAGTGTCAAAGTCCATTCTTTAGCTGTATATCGTTGAAGTCACTGAATTTTGTATAGCAAACCTGTTTATATATACTGTATTATTTGTAAGCAGTTATTAATTCCAGTAGGTTTTATTTTTTATTCAACATATGCAATCAAATCACATATAAACAAAAATAATTTTGTTTTTTCTCAAACAGCATACTTTTTCTTATCTTTTATTCCCGATATATTAAAAAGCAGTGGCAGGAGTTAGGGGACATCTTTGCTTTTTTTCTGATCTTATAAGAAACTGTATAATTTCTTACTGTTAAAAATGACATTAAACAAGGGGAGCTCATGGAATCCAGTCTGACAGCTGGGAGACCAGCATAGGGCAAACCCAAACCCCCTGAAAGTGGGTCTTAGTTAGGAGGACTGGGAAGTCTATGGGGCCTCTGGTAGTGGATCAGTATTTATCCCTAGTATACAAATGAACTTTGGGAGCCCATTCCACATAGAGGGATACTCCCTCAGCCTAGACACCTGGGGGAGGGCCTGGGCCCTGCTCCAAATGATATGACAGACTTTGAAGACTCCCTATGGAAGGTCTCACCCTCCATGGGGAGCAGAAAGGGTATGGGATAGGGGAAATGGGGGAACAGGGGAAGAAGGGTCTACACAGTGAGACCCTGTCTTGAAAATATATACTGCGCACACACACACACACACACACACACACACACACATCCAAACGATCCCTCCCCACACACAATATACATTATCAAGTGGTGAAAATGCTCCTTGAAGTTTTCTGAAGTTTCTTTTCAAATATTTTCTGTCATGAATGTTAAATTCTTTTCTGCATCTGTTTTTGTAATTATGGATGGCTCTTCTTTACCATGTGGATATGATCAATTAATTTATTTCTTGAATGTTGAATGAGCTTTGCATACCCAGAGTAAATGTCATGTTGGTTGTGTTTCTACACATTGTTGGGTTTGGTTTACTAATATTTGTTAAGATATTTGTATATGGGCGGGCTCATGGAAGAATGAGTTTAGAAGATCTTCCTCTGTTTCTATGTTCTGAAAGAAATCAAAGAATTGGTACAAAACAGGGTATTTTCTGTGAGATTGTGTCTCTTAGCAATGTTAGAAGCTATATCCATGAAGTCTCACCAACATGTCTGCCTAAATATGAGCTGAACAAGGATAATAACAACAGAGGTACTAGCATGGACAGAGGAAGGTTCATGAAGCTTCAACCATACACAAAGAACTATAGGCAACTAAGGAGTGCTAGAGCATCATGAATAGTCTTCCTCAGGGAAGAAGAACACACCAACTGGCTATCCAGTACCAGTCAGCCCTGAAAACACTCATGTGAGTAACATTATACTGACTGAGAAAGTTGTGTGTGTGTGTGTGTGTGTGTGTGTGTGAGTATATACACATGTGTGTGAGAGAGACAGCAATTAATGACAAAAGAGGCCATGAATTTGGAAGAGAGCAAGGAGTGGTATATGCGAAAGTTAAAAGAGAGGAAGGGGGAAGTGTAATCACATTATAACACTAAAAAATACAGGTTATTAAAAAGAACACAAAGAAAAAGAGGAAGAGGAAGAAGAAGAAGAAAATGAAGAGCTTGACTTGGTATAATTTCTACCTGAGCTAAATGAATCCCTGAGGCAGAGTTCACTATTTTTTGGAAAGTTTGTGATCATTGATAAAAGCATATTCTGATTGTCTATTTTCAATTTTCCAAGTTTGGCAGACCTTGCTTTTCTAGGAGTGGGTTATTTCATCTATCTGTGGGCACAGGGTTGCTGTTACTCATCCATTGTCCTTTTACTGTCCACTGGGTCTCATTGAGTAATGGCTCCACTCTCAATTCTGACACCATTTTGTTTCTCTCTCATTGTTTTCTTTCTTTCTTTTGTTGGTTTTGTTTGTGTGTGGGGTGTGTGTGTGTGTGTGTGTGTGTGTGTGTGTGTTGTTTTGTTTTGTTTTGTTGGTTTTTTGTTTGTTTTTTTGTGATAGGATTTCTCTGTATTGCTTTGGAGGCTGTCATGGAACTAGATCTGTAGACCAGGCTGGCTTCAAACTCACAGAGATCTTCCTGCCTCTGCCTCCCAAGTGTTGGGATTAAAGGCGTGCACCACCACTGCCCAGCTTGTCTCATTGTTTTCTTAGTCTGTCTTATAGTTATAAAATATCAATGCTATTAATATTTCTAAAAATCTAACCTTTGGCACCAATATCTCCTTATTTCCAATTTTTGAGAAAGGGTTTCTGTGTTACAGCCCTAGCTGTCCTGGGACTCACTCTGTAGACCAGGCTGGTCTTGAACTCACAGAGATCTACCTGCCTCTGTCTTCCGAGTGCTGGGATTAAAGGCATATGCTACCACTGGCTGGCCCTTTTCTTGCTTTTATTAGTTAGTTTTTTCTGCTTGACTTGGATTCAATTGTGCTGCATTTCCAGTTTTCTAAGACATAGATATGTCATCTTGAAGCCTTCTTCAGGTATGGAAATTTCTCTTTGAGCATGGCTTTCATTGTATTGCACACGTTTTATCAAGTTGAATTTTCATGTTCACTGAGTTCAAAATTATTTTCCTTTTGTTGTGAGATTTTTGCCTATGTGTTATTTAAAAATATGTTGTCTCTAAGTATCTTGGAAGTTTTTAGTGGTTACCAGAAGTTGGAGGGACAGGGGAATGAAAAGACAGAGAATTTTACATTGGTAGAATGACTCTGGATGACGTTGATGAGTATATCACAGGCCTGGATTCCCAGTACTCAAGAGGCTGAGATCAAAGGACCATAGGCTTGATGCTAGACTGAGCTACACAGTTACTCTGAAAACAGTATAGGGCATATGGCAAGACTATGCCTAAAGAAAAAGCAGAAACAAGGGAGGGAGGAATGGTGACTATACAATCCCAATGTGGGCAATGACATGTCTCAATGCTGGCTCATTAGTTGTAACATCTATATAGTTTAGATAGTAAATTTGGGGAGCAGGAAGGATGGGAATGTATGAGAGCAAGAATGGGTATGGAAATTAATCTGTCTTATACTAAAATTGTCTAGGTACCTCCTTAAAAACTATGTTAAAAACAGAGCTTAGGAGTCAGGTAGCAGGAAGTTGTGTAGGAAGGTCCTGGAAAACTTGGTAGGACTCCTGGATTCTATGACAGCCCATCAGAGGCAATGAGCACAGGGATGGTACTGATAAATAAGAAGAGGAGGAAGGAAGAGAAGGAGGGAGAGAGGGAGGGAGGGAAGGACCTGAAAGTAGAAGGTGAAATACTTGGGATAAAGAATGGTAGCAAAGGAAAGAGGGAGGAGAGATATAAAAGGTAGTGGTGGAAGAAAAAGAAATATCATGTTTTCTCTCACGTGGGCTGAGCTGATTGCTCTGGTTACTGTTATTGCCCTGAGCCTTCTAGAAGATATGGCATACTAGAAATTTGTTGTTTTTTTTATTTTCCTTTTTAGGGGCTGAGTATATGGCTCACTTGGTAAAGTGTTCACTATATAAACATGAGTTAGAACCCTAGGATGTTATGACACTGCCTATTACACCAGACCTGATGATGACAGGGACAAGTGGGGATAGCCTGATCACTAGGACTCTCTAATCAGCCAAACTCTAGGTTCACTGAGACACTCTGTCTCAAAAAAAAAATGTAAAGAGAAAATGAGGAAGATGCCTGATATCAACCCTTAAGCCTCCACCAATTTTCTTGTGAACTAGTACATCTATACACTCACTCACTCACACACACACACACACACACACACACACACACACACACACACACACACACCCTTCAGAGATCAAAGGCAGGGGAAGAGATTCTACACTGCCCCTGTAGTCTCCATACTGTCTCTGGAACCTGTCTAAATCAGCACTCATTGCAATCCACTGTAGGTGATGCCCTAGTCCTATCCATCTCAGCTCTCCAAAATCACCCAACCCGCCTGCCTGACTGACCTTGATCCCAGAGGCCAGCACTGCCATCCCAAAGCATTGTTCTCTCAGTGCGGTCCTAGAGCCTGCAGCAAAGTTTCAGTGGCTCTGAGAACTCAGGAGAAATGCACAGGAGTGGCAGGGAGCAGCAATTCAAGCGCCTCAAACCCTTCTGGAGGGTCTGTTTGCATGTCCCACTTGGAGAGTTCCTGATCCCAGAGAATCATATGGAGTCATATATTTTGCTTCTGCACGAGCAAAAGCCACACTACATTCAATAAGGAAAACATAATTAGAATGCTGGATATCCATGGTTTTGAAAACCTTTCTCAGTGATCAGAACAGAGGGAGAAGTCTATCATTTCCCTAAAGCCCTCACATTCTTTACTGGGGAATACACTTACACTGAAATGTCAAAACAGACAGGGCACATCCCCAAACAAAGCACACATGTGGCAGGTATGGCTTACCTGGCAGATACCACTTATGCACATATCCAGTGAGTCAGCATTGCAACGAGTCCCATCCAACACTTTCGGGGCCAGCTCCACTACCAAACTCTGTCCCCGAGCATGACACTTGAGTGCACATGGGGCAGCAGGGTCATTGTATAGTGGAATCCATTCATAATAATGGCCCTGGTACTGCACGTCATTATAGGCTGAGCACTGCTGGGCTCTGAAGTCTTCCGAATCTGCTGGGCAGTCCTGCAGGTAAACATAAGGAACCATGGGAACATGAACTTTAACCAGCCATGAGGTCAAAGGAAGGCTTGACCAGACCCCACTTGCCTCTACAAAGACTCACCTTAGTTCCTTATCCCTCCCTCCAACACCCTGAGATTACAAATTGAAGCTACATCTTTTCATTGTGGAATTCAGGAGTCTCTGCAATGCTGACCTACTCAGGGGATCATTTTATTAACCCTATCACTCTCCCATCCATGTGTTTTCCCCAGCTAATTAAGACATACGGTGTGTGGTGTGTAAGTGCTAATTTTACCAACTTCCAAATGGAATTGCAATCTCCTTTTTGGATCCAGGGGAACCAAAGGCCTTTACATTTCCAAGGTGATTCAAGGTCTTCATAGGAATAGTATTAGTCCTGCCCCTCAGGAGCCATTTCAGTGGAACCATTTGCTCTCATTTTAGCCCCAAATGACTGTGTGTTTTTATTAAAGTATTTTAATTACACATAATGGGCTTTATTAAGATATTTTCATACATGTAAATGATATGTTTTGATTGTATTTACCACCATGACCTTTCCTTGCCCCTCTCCTACTGACCATCTTCCCTTACCCAATCAGCTGTAATTCTACTTTTATGTCTTATTTTGTGTTCCCCAGACATCCCCACACCCAACCCTAGCAACTGTTAACTGCCTATAAATCTCCAGGAAGGAGTATAGTCTTGTCCAAACTCCTGTGTTTTGTGAGAATTCTGGCTGTGTCCCCCTTGCCGTTTAGTGCATCTGCTTTCTCTCTCATCTCCCATTGCTTCTCACTGGTACCAAAGATCTGTCTTCAACAAGCTAGTGCAAAACTGTGACAAAAGCAAATAAAACCAACACCCTAGGACACCCTCATATTACAGTAAAAAGTAAAAGTGTTGATGACTTGGGGGAGGCACTTCTATTAAATTATGCATTCTTCCTTCTAGATAGTTCCAAGGCAAGATGCTGGATGAGACAAATGTGCACTCACGGAAACTCTTTCTATTTATTTTATACTCTCCTTGTTATGAAGATAGTTAATGCTCATTCTAAGAACTTTGGAGGAAAGTTTCTATTAAAATGAATAAGTTACAAAGATTCTTATACTTAAATATTTATACAAATCTTGATTTTTTTCCTAAGGGTTTGTTTCTGGAAATAAAATTTTCTGAGTCCAAGTGTGCACATGTTTTATGAAGTACTCTAATGTCGTGAAGTAGTCCTCCAGAAAGGTATTACCATTTGCCATGGCCTACACATTGCCTTTCTGGATCCTTCTTCCCCATTTGGATATTATAACTTTCTAATCAGACATGTATAGTGGAATTTCATTGCTTTAAATTACATTTCCTTTTTATTATTTAGGCTTCATGGGTAGTCTTGTATGTTTGCTTTTTAATATCAAATCTTTGAAAATTTCTTGTTTTATGTACTCTGTTTTGCCTTCATATTATTTTTAGCAGATAAAGCTACTACTTTTTGTAGTGAAGGCATCAAATTTGGTCATTTGAGTTGGAAACCTTTTCATTATTATTTTGCTCCAGGTGCCCTGTGAAGTTGAGAAGTCTTGAATGTTTATGCAGCCTGTTCTGCTAACATTTCTTCAAGATTTCTTCCTTTTTAATGGGCTACAAATTCTTTCCTTACTCTGCCCCGAGGACAAATAAATATAAAATGTATTTATCTAGTTCCTTTATGGCATTTAACTCTTTGAATTTGGGTTTGGGGTTTTATGTGTCATTGTTGCTCTGGTTTTTTCCATTTTATTTTTGGGGGAAGGGTCTCTGTAGCCCATACTGGCTACACTTTGAATTTACACTTTGAACTTGGGAGTTGATCCTCCTTGCTCTGCCTCAGACATGTGCAACTGTGACCAGTTTAACTCTGTTATAGCTAGAATTATTTGGGTAAATACTGTGAGGTAAAAATCTCACCCCATTTTTTTCCTAAAAAATAATGAATATATTTCAACATGCTTCTAAAATATAGTTCATTTTATGTCTCATCTTTTCCCTGGGTTTTACTGTTACAAGGAGACCAGTCCTCCTAATCCTAAATAAAGTGATTATATCTAGTAGTAATCTACCATTTAGCTATTCTGCATTCCAGATAGCAAACAAACAAGCCATTCTTACTGGAGTTGGATTGTGCTTGCCTACACCACTGCAATCTTTAGTCAGCGTACATATCAACACAAATTTCCTAGTCTAGTGTGGTCCGTGGGCCTGCAGTCACATACCTGCCCCACTAAGTGTCACTCGGAAGCCAGATCACCAATTCCACTATAAACTGAACCACATAAAATGAGATGTATGCATGGAGACTTCTAGGAAAATAGAACTGTCCATAATCATCCATATATAACCCCTAACAAACTCACTTAACCCATAAAGATTAACTTTAATGAGTCATTCTTTTGGCCGTTGATGCTGTGGCAGTGTATGGACAGTTGCTCACCTGCATTTCCCCACAAAATGTTATGCAACAACTGTATTTGGTCTTTGCAAATGGCCTCAAATCCTTTGAAAATAGTTAGGGAACAAGTAGGCCATGTTTATCAAGTTTCACTATGGGCTCACTTGTACTATACTGATGTAAAACTTTCTATACTCCCACACTGTATTTGTTTTTGTTGTTTCAGCTAAACTCTCATCTTGGGTCATGACAAATGATGCAAATCAAACCAAAGTAGACTTAAATCAATAACTTTTCTCTTTAGAAATGGGGACTCTATCTTCCATGTGACCATAGAAAAGATGGATGACAAAGTGACATCATCTTCTTTCCCGCAAGCTATGGTTGGTGTTTTCTTTCAAATTCTTTGAAACTAAAGAAAAGTGTGTTTGAAAGCTGGGAACAGACACCTCCCCTTGCATTGGGCTCACGGGTGTGGCAAGTGATCTTTAGGGGCTGAATGGTCTACCTGGCTGACTGCTATCAGCCAATAAAATTTCCCAAAAACAGTAGTGAGTACTAGTTAACATATGTTTAGGATTCTGCCTAAGCTTAGTCCTTGCCCAATGTGTGGCCAAGTTTGTCAAACTTGGTTAAGACTGACTATCCAGAGGCACATCTGGTCTACAACAGGTGGAACTTTCTCAGAAATTTGAAATTACACAAAAAAGGGGGACAGAGATGAGAAGTCACATGAAGCCTGGGCTTGGCTGGCCCTTTCTTTATGCCCAACAAAGCCAGGCTGTTCCCATTACGAAGGAGAATGGATGAAATATGGAGGGAGAAGGAAAGTTGGCAAGCTATGCATTTCAATAGGAGAAAGTAGCCTGTGGTCCTCACTTTTGGGGTTCAGGCTCTCAAGACCTGCTTCTGCTTAACGAACATTAAATATCACACAGTTCTACTGAGGCACAGTATTTCATTGTATTCCTTTGGGTTCTCTAAGCATATGACCCAGGGCAAAGTTCATAAAGTATTTTCAGTAGACATGTGTTGCATTGAACATAATTGGCCAGAAGACATAAATCCCAGAGGAAGGAACTTGGAAGCACTCTGGGCATTCAAGTTTTCTAACCATGACTGAACTATTTCGTGGATACCACTTTCTAAGAAATGGAGGGAACATAGGCAACTTAGTTAATTGCTTTCATTTACTTTACATTCACCTAGTATCAACACTAAGCCTGCCCAGCCTAGCTTAACTAGGCTCAGCTCAAGACAATGTAGGGATTTTTGTGTAATTAAATAGCCTAGTTTAGCCTCATAGTTGAAGACAGATATGAGTAGACACAGCTCCTACTTATTTAGGAGTATGTATATGTGTGTGTTTACAGAGGTCAGAGGGGGCTTGTACAGCCCCTAGAGCTAGAGTTATAGAAAATTGTAAGCTTCTCAATATATGTTCTGAGAACCAAACTCCAGTGCTCTGGAAGAGCAGCAAGTATTCGGAACCACTGGGCCACCCAGCACCAGGACATGGCTTTAATACAGAACAGAAGTAACAGTGATGGAAAGAAAAGAACACCTCCAAGAAAAATAGCTAATGAAAGACTGGTAGACATTAGCCACTCATGGGTTCTGTGGTGTGAACAAAGGATCCTGCAAAGGCCATGTCAAGTGTCACCTTTTCTGGAAGCCATCAGAAAGCCCACTGTGCAGAGCTAACTGCTCATTAAAAATATGCCCCTGTTGCAAAAATATTCCTGCCAAGTTATGATACATTTCACATTCCCCTTTTCTGCTTCTAGCATTGCCTTTAATCCCATATAAACCCTGGGCAAAGAAAGCACCAGGAGTCAATGAATTCAGGTATTAGAACTTGTGACCGACCTACATGGTTTCTGAAAACCCATACTTGCTCTGATAGACTACTGATAATTATCTCTCAAAGCCTGGAGTCCAGACCTGGCTGTAGGATCTACACTGAATGCCAATCAAAGCTTGTGTCTAAAGACTGAAGCCACTTAGGAGTCACCAGACACACTCTGCTCCCTAATCTTTCGGCCCAAGGCCCCATCTCTTTTGAGGGGGAACCTAAGCTACTGAAACCACAACCTCATTTCTTGGAAAGAACACTGTGACCCCATAGCCTGCTGGAGTCTGCTGGAGTCTGGTGTTTACACTGTGAAGGCTTGTTTCTGCCATCATGCCTTCTGATTGGTTTCATAAAGTGCTGAATGGCCAATAGCAAGGCAGGAAGGGGTTAGGCAGTACTTCTGAGGAGGAGGAGAACTCTGGGAAGAAAAGAGGCAGAGACTAAGGAGACACTGAAGAAGCTGGACATACAGAACAGAGGAGGGGTAACCGAGTCCCATGGCAGAACATAGATTAAACAAGCAGGTTCATTTGAGTTATAAGAGCTAGTTAAGAAAAATGCCTAAGCTAAGACAAAGCTTTCAAAATTAGTAAGTCTCCTTGTCATTATTTGTGAGCTGGTGACCCAAAAGAAAGTCCTACTACTGGAGTCTTCCTCTCCTGCCACCTTGAGCATGGCTGGGCCCCTTGCTCATGGGTGGAGGGAATTCTTCATCTGTGGGTTCTGAATGCATTCCCATTGCCCTGAGCTTCCAAACAAAAGACCATCTGTGTTTCCTCTGCCAGTGATGCTTAGTAAGCTTTTCCATGGTGGGAAGACTTATGAAGAACAGCTGGGGGACATACCTTCCTCAAGCAGGGTCACCCTTTATAAAGAGGGTGTTGGAGGACCCACTGAGAAAGGAGCAGAATACAGATGGGTACAAAGGACTTCATGACTCTGACTTGGCTTCAGTTGCTTCTCATCCATTTCCTTCCTTCCGTGTCTTTGCTTGACCTTGGTTCACTGAATATCCAGGACTGTGCCGCTCACCCAAGGCTTGTCATATGGCAATGGGTTCATGGTATTGCAAGCTACTCTACCTTTAGTTCCTGCTGTCTCAAGCTTCATAGACACTGCAAAACTTCTTTCTAAGAGAGCACCTGCATCTCTCTCAGAAGCCTCTGCATTTCAACTTGAGCACTGTTGTTTTAATTTGAGTATATTGTGCCAAAGAGGGAAATGTTTGGATGGAAAAAGAATGGTTGCTTTTATTAATTTTTCATGCTTGATGTGTGCACACCAAAGAACAAGTGAACAGGTATGTGTATGCATGTGGGAATGGAGGCCAGAGGACAACCTTGACTGTTATCCTCAAGAATGCCACTGACCCACTTTGAGAAAGGGTCCCTTCTTAGCTTGGAGTTTGCCAATTAGGCTAAGATGGCTGGCCAAGGAGCCCCAGGTTCCTCCTCTTTCTGTCTCCCCAGTTCCGGGATTGCAAACCCACCCCCATGCCTGGAATTTTTTCATGGGTTCTGGGGCTCAAATTCAGGTCCTCATGTTTGCAATTCTACCGACTGAACTACCATCCCAGCTCCTAATTTTTTTTATAATTGCAAAGCAAAAATGTTCTAATTCTTCTTTGGTGTTGACTAGTGTAACAAATAGTAAGGGTTGTATAAAACCTTCCTTCTGTGTGACCTTCTGGCCCTGCTGTAGTGGGCACAACAGGCAGTCTGCAGTGGCAGAAACACCCCAGACCAGTTCCCATCTGGAATCTTCCTTTGAATATCTCAAAAATAAGTTTACCCCTCCCCCCCAGCCTCCATCCCTCTTCATGTGTCTGTGTGTCCATCCCCCAGCCTCAGTCCCTCTTCATGTGTGTGTGTCCTTCCCTCAGTCCCTCTTCATGTGTCTATGTGTTCATCCCTCAGTCCCAGGCCCTCTTCATCTCTCTGTGTGTCTCCAGACATTGTGAAAGAGGCTGATCACTTGGACCCTTGAAGGACCTTGAAGCTATTGTGTAATCAATTCTATGAATAAAGTCATGATTGCATACTTACCAAATTCCATCATAAATGTTAAATGGCCTAAAAAGAGCACTGTGAATGGAAGGTACATATAAGCAAAGGCTGTCATCAACCAAGAAAGTATTTAAAATTAACAGGAAGGTTCTCAAGACACTATTGGCCTCACAGTACGTATTAAATACTCTCTCTAGGATGGAGTTTAATTGGGCATAGTCTCAGACTTACATGATTGCTGCATGTCTTGTATCTGATGTTCTGTCCTTCGCAGTTTCTAAAGGAAAAAGGAAACAATGGCTTTTATAGAGATGACATGCATTAAAATGATGCAAAGACAAGGTACCAGTGTCCTATAAAGTTTTAGTGGTGTGTGCTACTACTGCAAGGATACTAAGTTTAAACTCTGAAGAAACAAACTTCCAAGGACCAGGGAACCAAAAACATCACAAGGAGGTATCCATAAAAGAGAGGGTGAATTCTTTAGTGAGTGACATAATGACCAACTAGCTTTTCTCTTACCCTAGGATCTACCTAATCTCTGAAATCATGGTGTGTGTGTGTGTGTGTGTGTGTGTGTGTGTGTGTGTGTGTGTGTGTGTGTGTGCTGTGTTCCAAAGAAATCCATAAATGTTTCTTTACATTATTTTTTCTGTAATGATTATTTTATATATTATTTTGTATATTACTGGATCTTATACACTGTGTGTGTGTGTGTGTGTGTGTGTGTGTGTGTGTGTGTGTGTGTGCATGTTGCATCTTTTGAGACAGGGTCTTGCCATTTAGCCCTGGGCTGGCCTAGAACTGGCTATGTGGCTCATTCCATCCTGTAACTCACCAAGTATTGGAATTAGGGCTTGTGCCACCATGCTGCCCAGTTCCTGGGGATGCTCTTTTATTACTGATTCTCTCTTCTTTTTCCTTTGTCATCCTTAAACTCAAACTTCTCCATTTACACTTCATGCCACCTTCACTTTTTTATTTATTTATTTATTGGCAGGGCTTTGTAGCCCTGGCTGGCCTTTAACCTGTGATGATCTTCCCATCTCTGCCTCCCAACTGCTGGGATTACAGTCATACATCACCATATCCAGCTAGCCTTAAACTTTCTGTTCCCTTTTGGCATGTACCCCTCCCTGGGAGGTACCATCCTTAGCTGTATTTAGAAGGCTTTGGGAAAACCACATTTTGGAGTAAAAGAACAGAGTTATGGCTGCTTCCCAAAGCATGACCCCTAAGCTTCTAAATGCTTGACTCTGAAGACAGACCATGAACTCATTAGTTGCTCCTTCTGAACTTGTGGTTTAGAATGTTTTCCCACATTATGGCCATGGGCTGGCTAAATCTTCATATTCTGTGACTATATCCTCACCATTTCACTTGTCATGAGTCTACTATTGAGGTTTGCTACAGTCTTTATGAGAGGACACCACATTTTAAAGATTCAAGAAGCACAAGCTGGGAGGCTGGCAGCAAAATCATGCTGGGCTGGAAGACTACATTCTTCTGGGGAACCACAGCTGCCTGGTGTAGAAGGCCATTCATTTGCCAGACTTACATCACTTTTCTTTTCATGTGGATGACAGGGGAAAACAAACAATAGAGTGGAAGGGCCATTTCAATTACTCTGTTAATTTTAGGGAGGTGGCTGCTAGATCAGGAAAGTGACATCCAAATGCTTTCAGTGTCATGTCAACTTTTAACCCTAAGATGCTTTAATCCACTTAGAATGTATTCTTTATACGGACTAATAGCTCCTGATATTTTTCATTGGCTATTCATGTTCAAAAACTCTTCTATAGTTTATTTTTATTTTACTCAGTTTTCTTGATTTCAAGGAGAAATTAAAGGAAAATGGATCAATAGGAAATCTGAATTAATAGAAATACCAAGAAATAAAAACTCTTGAAGCACACAAAGAACAGAAATTTCTTTAAAAATGATTTAAAACGTCAGAAATACATTTCATATGAATTTTAATAATTATTCAATTTTCCTTATTTGAAAAGAAAGTTGCTTTTTCAAATAGAAATTTAAACTAAAAGAGAAGAAAAGAGTCAAGTTGTCTCATGGCTGTATCTCAAGTCAGCTCTGTAGGCTACATTGTCAAGGTCCACACCCAGCTGTCAACCATCATATCCAGGAGTCAGTCACTTGTGTGAACCTTGAGCCCAAAATGCTAAACCTAAAAACCAAGTGCATCTCTCCCACAAATCCCACTTCAAGTGCTTCTATGTGACAACAGAAAACACAAATTTCATTCCAAGAATTCTCAAAACATATATCACTGTGTTGGACTTTCTCCTTCATCCGCAATTCTGTGGTGAACTTACTGTGGACCGGGATGTAGATATAACGATACCAGGGTATTAGTGCTCAGTTTGCTTTATAAATCAGCATCCAGTCACCATTTTTAGCATTCTACTTCATGTCCTCCAGCCTAACACACACTCAGCCCACAGGCCGGCCTCTATAGATGTGGCCTGCTTTTGGTTGCAATTTAGTCGGAAAATGAATGACTACTTTATGAAGCAAGCATAAAATGAAATGCAAGTTGTTTTAAAGTTAAGGACATGAGAGTCCTAATTCCCCAAGCAGGAACCTGCCAGCTTATTCTGGAAATAATTCCTTTGGCCCAAAGCAATTGAGCTGCAAAAAATATTACTTGTGTGTTTTTAATACAACTATAATTAGCATATGAAAGAGCTGATGGTTATCAGGAGTATATGAAAATTCAAGAGAACTGTTCCACAATTATGGATTCTCTGCCGATTACAACATTCATAGCACCCTAGAACTGAAGATTTTTAAAGTCTAAATTTATGAATATCTAAAAAACATGTTGGTATCACATGCAAATACATTATAAACATTAATAAAAATTTCCCCAGGGTTTATAGCACTATAATTTAATATTTGCTTGGTGATATATTGACTCAAACACTAGTGTCATAAAGGCTCAGAAGCATATGTTTTGAAGAATAAAAATACATTAAGTTTAAAATAGTAGTGAAGCTGAACCTGTGGTTCCTGTGGCTGGCACTTGGCCAGAGGATCAAGTCACAGGTTTCTGCAGGGAAAAAAAAAAAAAAAGATGTTCTGGTTGGTGGTTCGTAATGCAAAAGAACTGTCTGGAATATTTAAATGGGGTCAAGTTCTGAAATAACTCTATCCATGGAAAAATAGATAAGAGAAATGGCTGTGCTTATCTTATTCTCTGAAACCTTCATTTGAAGGAGCACACTGATAAGAGAAGCCACTGGGATGGTCTCTAAAACCTTGGGGGTGGCTATCTGTTTGGCTTGGTACAGAATCACCTCCATCCTCCTCTTCCAAGAAAAACTGACCACAAGTGCTCAAGATTTACAAAGTTTTAATTGGTCTCTGTGGTTCTTCAAAGAGAGCTGATAAGCCTTACAAGGGAAGTGGGCTTCCTCCTTAAGGTCTTATAGTACCCCAGAGATGCAGTGGGAGATCTTAATACAGGGCTGAATCAGAATGAATAAGGCCTATGAGGGACCAAATGATGGGCAGCAAGGTTGTTTGAATTCTTTAAAAATCTGCTACCCTTCTCTCATATGAATCTGAGCCAGTCTGTGTGCAAGATGGCATTACTGTCCCTTTTGGGGGCATGGAGCAGGTAGATGTGACTCAGGTTTGGCCTCATGCCTAGAGCCAAGTTGGAGTGAGGAAATAACACTGCCAACTGTTTACCTACTGGGGACAGCAAAGAGAAGGTGGTATCTTAGCTGATCTTCTATACACTGCATATATGAAATATATCATTCTGTACATATATTTTATACATACAAGCACACAAAGAGTAAGGTATTTTGTAGGATCATATCATTGTTTAAATCATATGAATTCAGGGAGACAACAAATATGGAGGTTTACAGGTTTCACTGCACATTTCAGAAATAGGATGAAATTAATGTATAAATAGACTCAGGAACACTAAATGGTTTCAAAATGTTTGTATGTGGGTGCATGTACACATATATCTGCATACATGTGCATGTGTGTATTATACACATGTGCCTCTGTGCACAAGCATGGATGCACCAAAACCAGACAGGTCGACCAATGAAATAGAATTAAAGACTACAATATTAATTCACACACTTATGACCACCTGATTTTTGACAAAGACGCTAAAACTCTACAATGGAAAAAAAGAAAGCATCTTCAACAAATGGTACTGGCATAACTAGATACTGAATTGAAGAAGACTGCAGATAGACAATCTCCATGCATAAAATGTAAATCCAAATGGATCAAAGACCTCAACATAAATCCATGTAACGAGTACGGTTTTTCCGCCTGCCGCCGCCCGGTCTTGTCCTGCCGCCGCACCAGCCCCAAATGATACATAGAGACTCTGTATTTGATACAATGCTGTTGGCCCGGTTACTTGCTTCTTATCGGCTAGCTCTGCCTTAATTATTAACCCATTTCTGCTGATCTATGTATTTTCACATGGCCTTCTCTTACCAGGGAGGCGGCTGACGTCCAGCTCTCTCCAGACTCTCCATCTTGATCCCTCCTTCCTACTTCCTCTTCCTCCTTGTCTCCTAGTCCCTCCTATCCTCCTCTCCTATTGGCCAACAGTGCTTTATTATTAACCAGTATGAGAAACATATACAGAATGACATCTCCCATCAAATCCAGCCACTGAACCTCTTAGAAGAGAAAGTTGGAAGTATCCTTGAACAAATTGGTATAGAAGTCCACTTCCTGAACACAACACCAGTAGCACAGACACTGAGATCAACAATTAATAATGGGACCTCCTGAAACTGAGAAGCTTCTGTAAGGCAAAGGACACAGTCAACAAGACAAAATAGCAGCCTACAGAATGAAAAAAGATCTTCACCAACTCCACATCTGATAGAGGGCTGATCTCCAAGATATACAAAGAACTCAAGAAGCAAGTCACAAAACACCAAACATTCCAATAAAAAATGGGGTACAAATATAAATAGAAATCTCAATAGAGGAATCTCAAATGGCCAAAAGGCACTTAAGGAAATACTCAACATCCTTGGCCATCAGAGAAATGCAAATCAAAACAACTCATAGATATCATCTTACACCTGACAGACTGGCTAAAATAAAAAATACCAATGACAGCTTATGCTAGAGAGGATGTGGAGAAAGGGGAACACTCCTCCACTGCTGGAGGGAATGCAAACTTGTACAGCCACTTTGGAAAATAGTATGGAAGTTTCTCAGGAAAATGGGAATCAGTCTACCTCAAGATCCATCAATTCCACT